TACCAATTAATCACACAAGCATTGTGGTATAACGAAGAATCACTCTGCTGGAGCAACTGCATGCACAGTTTTCCAAGAAACAAGCATCTTTAACTTATCAGTTGCAATAGACTATGAATACAGTTAATTAGAAGCTAGATAAATCGGTTTCTGCTTTGCAAACACATATTTCACATTAGAAATTACAACAGATGTACAATTAAATTTCCACATTTTTTTATTAATTTGAAATCCTTTTTAATTTTTTAAAATACTCAACTTCACAATAATCATGATCATTAAGTGTTGTTTATAATGCAGATGAGAAAGTAAACAAATAGTGTGACTGATGAAAATGAAATATATTCTTTATTAACATTTAAAAAACGGAGGACATATTCATTCATTAATATTTTTTGTTAAATTCTTGTAATTATCGATGAACATTAAACGCTGTGTTATTTTACTGATTAATAAGTGCTCATTGTACAGGTTAGGTCGCTGAACCTCATACCAATACTTTAATTTACATATGTTTAGAAATTAGAGTAAATGACATATTACACTGTTGCAAATCGTCTAACGAAATTCAATTATTTTTACAACTCGATCACACTCAAATTGTCACTTAAAATACCTATTTAACCACTGCACGAAAGGTAAAGAACTTTTCGCGCGCAGCGTCATCTAGTGCTCGCAATTAAAAATACTTGAATAGAAAAACGGGGTTGTCAAATAGAAAAAGTTTAGCTAAATGTGACGAAGATGTACAAAAGAGATTCATATGTAACGTTTCAAACTTTATTCATTGCTGTGAAAAATAAATAATACAAAATACTTTCGCCATATATCAAATGTTATACATAAATTCGTTATACAGGTATATTTAATAAAAGATCAATTCTTAAGGCAGCTTTTTTCGATGGAAAACAGAGATCGCCAGTATTGAAACGTGGACAAGTCCTGCTCGAAATGACGAGCCGTCATTCATCGAAATTCAAATCAGTCGATCGAAGCATGTCCAGATAATTCCAGCCCATTGTATTCATATCGACTGCGTAAATTCCGCCACGAATTCGTGCGTCTAACACGAGAATGAAAGCGGGCCTAAATGTGGCGCGTGAGAGTTGACGTAAAAGTTACAAAAGACACCGCAAGCCGTGTTGTTGCGTAGATCAGAAACACGACCCACCATGATGCTCGCGACTAAATGGTGCATGGATAGCCATTTTCTGTGAAATAACACGTTGCATTCGGTTACGTTCGCGGTAATGCACAGGTAGAACGATCCACAGGTTGTAATACAGGTTATATGTAGTGTGGGATGTAGGAAACGCAGCAGACAACTAGAAGGTAACGTAAAAGATACTGTGAATCGTTCCAAGTGTCTCTTTCAAATTTTTTCAAGGTTATGTTAGTTGATATGGTCGTTTAAACTGTATTGGAAGTTCAGTTGTGTTCAAGTTTGAAATAAAAGTATTTAATGCGTCTGATTGGTGGTTATAATTTCCGTGATAGAGTGCATGAGTCCTCTGACCCTGAAAAAGTTGCTCGATGAGAGGTTCATGCACACAATTTGTAAAAGATTCGTTTAATCTCATTCCTTGTCCCGCGAGATCGGGAACGCGGATAATTGCATAATGTAACTGGTGGTTGCTTAATCTGTTTCGCGAAAGTTATAATTTAACAATTTACGTCCGCAGGAAACCGAATGAGTCACTGGGGTCTCGTAATTATAAGGGTGATCCTTGTACAAACTTTTCGTGGGGCAAGCTGTTATTAATTCGTAAAGCGGAATGATTTTTTCATGTTTTTCGTTGCGATGGTGAATGTCAGTGACACGACGTAGAAGATCGCGTAAAATAATTACTTCACTGCTCGTAATAAGCATTTTATCGTAATAAGCGTTTTCCTGTGACCAACAGCGAGGTCGTTGTTTCTTAACCATGCAACAACTTGAACGGTTATGAACTTCGCAATAAATGGGTCATTATGCGAATGTTACGACTAACGCGATGCTATTTTTCATTCAGCTCGAGTTGTTGGTAAGGTACAAATTGTAGATTTGTTGATTTTTAAATTTTCGATTTTTCAAATTCTTGAAATTTTGAATTATCAAATTTTTAAATTTAATCTTTACGCGCTAAAAATCTTAGAAATAGTTAGAAAATGATTGCCCTACTGATTAGCGAACCTTAAATGATTGTGATTCAGTGAAAAGCGAGTGAGATGAACCGGAAGCGAACCTTTGCGCTGTTTCACTGGCGCCGTCTTAGTCAAGTTTGCAACCTGCAATGACGTCGTGGAATTGAAATTAAATGTCGGCAACATATGTACAATTCCAAGAATTGTGATGTCATCTGGATTAAGGAACTGTCATTCTGGCTAAATACATTACCGCTTATTCGCGACGAAATATTCTTGTTTCACAGTTATGCGAGTATCAAGAACTCACTTTATCATCATTTCCGCGTAAAATTGTTGACAATTTTTGCAAATACAAGAAAATCGTTCTACTTTATCTGCTTTAAATAGAAATGACAGGCGAATCAACGGTTTCGTAATTGTTAACACGGTGTAAGCAATGTAACGACAAAAATAACGAGTCTTGCATAGTTTCAAAACATTTACGTAAAACCACAGCAATCAGACTGTGTTTTTATTTTCGCTGTTATGAATACGCTTATCAATGTGTGACTCAATTCGAATAACAATTAAGCAAATTGGTAACGTGAAACTCATTCTCAGATGATTTCATTTCTATTATACTACCATTTACGTCATGCAACGCCTCTATAGGTATTATTAGGAATTCTCTATAGTTATTATTATTTTAATTAACGAATAATAGTACACGTTTAATTTATTCATAGGTTATATGCACTTTCGACGTATTATTTTCTGAGAACCGACTTTTTTCCCCAGTTCCTCCATAATTTTCGAGCCCCTGTTACATTTCGGCGTCTTACGTTCATTCGCACAGTTACAACGCTGTTCTACTTCCCATAAGACAGAAATGCTTCCGGCGAAGCACTGTTATACCGAACCAGTGAATGAAGGGCTTGCGCATATGGCGCACCGTAAAAAAGTTATATCTCTTCCTGTTCGTTGAATTTTGTCAGTGGATGAACACCATTTCTCATACAAAGTATTACTATCTCACATTCTAGAGACTCTTACACTTTTCCTTAATAATGAACTTGAACCATAAAAACAATTCTTCCCATAACCATAACTTTTTAATGTACAACAAAATTCTCTATCCTGCGGCTATAGACTCTTCCCGAAAACTAACCTCAAACACAAAGAACAATTCTCTCTTCCCTATTAAATAATTCAATTTAACCATAACCTCGTAACTTATCGCAAAATCAACATACAGTGCCCCCATTCTTAGAGAAGTTTCAAAAATAACCTCAAACACAGAACAAACTTGAATATTCCAGCCGTATCACTGCGAGTAAATCAAGAGAGAGAAAAATCTGGTCAGTTGACCCAAATAGCGACACTGAATCATGGAATTCACGGCCGGGATAGGAAGTAGCTGGGCAACAAGTGCCACCGAAAAGAAAGAAGCCGTCGGGACGTTGGTTGACGGTCGGTAATGTAAGTCGCTGACCAAATATAGGCGTGTCGTTATATCGTTTGAACTTGCCAGACCTTGTCACATCATTTTCTCTCTTTTCAACTCTGTCGAGCGTACGTGTGTACGCCAGATGAATGTTTGCTTGGGCTATCAGTGTCAATAGAGCGTCGGTGTCTCTTTTCGAATGGACGCTGGACGAGCCTCGATAATAATACGGTTCGGATTTCACCTGGTCTCCTCTGCCTTGGTCTTCTCGACCCCGTGGGTGCGTGTTTCCGGGGCAATTTCGTGCTTCCTGTCGACAACCGACCATCTAAGCTCGTCGAACACTTTGTCTTACTTCGTTATATTGTTCGTTTCTTTTGGAACATTTTATTTGTGACACGTTGAGGAGAGATTCTTGGGTTTGTCTGAATGATGGATTGGTAGAATGGAATTACAGAGAGGTTAGGTTGAGTGTAATATAATGTAATATAGGTTAAGGTTAATGGTAAGAATAATATTTTAGAATTTTTGGCTTTCTGTAGTTGGTAGATTGGTGGAGGTGGAAATTAAAGCTTAGTGATTAGAATACTCAATAATTCTCTAGAATAGGTATTCCATGGTTCTGGCATTCTAATGCCATATATGGAGATAGCTATATGTATAGATAGAGGAAAAAGGTTAGGTTATGATTTATACTTGCTCTTCTTTTTTTTTATCTTAAAGGACACTGCCAAACTTTTTACACCTTACTTGTGAATATCTAATTTACGTAGTTAGAGAGATTAAGTTTTATTTCGAAGGATTACTTATTAATATACTTTGCAAGTTTCTGTAACGGTTGCGATCTTTTTTCTTGAGATATTTTTAACCTTATCTGACCTCGAGGCGATTGTAAACCGTACTCTGTCAGAATAATGTGAGAATATTGCCTCCAAGTACCATTTCACACCTCCGACGAGACTTCCTCTTGCAAATTAAATGAAATCACAAGGAAACGACACGGACGTGACAAAAGTGGCACTCGTGGAGATTGCTCGAGGACACCAGGAAGTTAGAAGTGTGCACTTTCTCCATTGATTTTGGTAATCGTTTTGCCAACATGTAGATTCGAAAATTATTCCGTTTAATCATATAATTACACGCCGTTTAAACATTCCTCCAGACTTCATAACATAATTACTCTATAATTGGACCTCTAATTATTTAGTCGCTGAAAATTCAAGATTAAAAATATTACTTAACTAATTGATGAATTTCATTCATTTTCTCCAATAATAAATTGTGCAAACTCCTTTGTATTTTATCATTTTAATTTTAATTTATTGTTAATTGCAAGATCTCAGTGTGTTTTTGTTAATTTTTTCTGGGTTTTTTTTTCTTCTCTGAAAGCCTCCATAAATTCCGCCTTGTTATTTTTATCGTTCGCAGCCGAAGATAACCGTTCGATACGATTAATCTCCGAGTTGATGGATTACGAAAGCCCCGTCAGGCGATATCTAGATGTTGCTGAAACCTTTGGTGGTTTCTCTGGCTGTGGCGTGGCGCATCCAGCGTGCTTCCGGTTGGATCTTGCGTTTCCTATTCGCTGGCCTAATAAATCAGCTCATATACGGTACCTATTGCACCCGAGGCTGAACGATGAAAGTTAATGCTAGTAAAAATTGACGCGTTACTATTAAAAAAAAAAAAAAAAAAGTTAGCAAGGAAGCGTACTTAAATCACCAGATTAATTCGTAGATCCTTTAGAATTTATAAACACGTATTTATAGCTCATGGTGCACGCAAAAGGTGGTTTATTTTCAACTTCGTGTTACTTTCTACCGTGCGAATCGGTTGAACGAAAGTAACTAGAAATTGGGGACAAATAGATCTAGCATTTCTTTCTGTTATCCATTATTGCACTATCGTGTTAGGAATTGATAAAGAAAATTGAATAAATGGTGTTAGTAATGTGCGGGTTTTGTGGGTTTCTTATCAGAGGTGTTTAAACATCTGAGCGTTATCAACCGGGAAAGGTAGTAGTAGTAATATAAGAAGGAATTGATAAATAACGTCACCCGCTACTTTTGCCAGATAATCATCGTGACAACTCATGCAATAATGTTTGACGTAGTTGATCGGCGATTTTGTTCTTGAATCACGATAGGAATTTTTTCGTGGAAGATTCGGTGTCGACTGTAATCAAGATTTATCTCGAGATATAGGTATTAGGATCTGGAACTGTTACCGCATTATCCGAAGGATCGATTAAAATGGTTGAGAGAAATGCAAAGTGTTGAAAATATTGACAATGTTGAAAATTTGGAACTTGTTAATTATACGAATAGCCTTATAAATATTGAAACACGGTGAACAGTTGAAGAATGTTGACAAATGTTGATAAGCTTCAAACTCGACCCTGTTAACAAATATTGAAGAATATTTTAACGATCATTCACACGAAATTGAATATTCTGAAAATATCGATGAATATAAATGTTGAAGAAGCTCCAAGAGATGCGACAATATTTGAAAAACTAACTGTACAGCAATTCTGCATGATTAGAAACAGAAAATCGAACGATTCGTTCCCCTTAGAGCGTTCACCGTGTTTCCGGAATGATCGCTCGTTTCCTGTCGCATCGACTAGTGTTTCAATAATTCCGCGTGTTCGCCAGTTACATCACGAGGTGACGACGAGTTTGTACTATAAAAATATATTTGCTGATCGTGTATTTCTATCTCGTGACATCAGACCTCCGTCGAGGCATAAACGTCTTGAAACATACTTACGGTTTTCTTTTTTCTTTTTCATTCTTCACCGTTATTTCTTGTTTTTGTATAAATTTCAAATTCTATCATTGTTACTTCGACTAACACAAAACTCGTCCTTCAAAAAGTTGCACTTGCGAACAAGACTTGGAATTCTTTTGTCACGGCCGTACGCCGATTAATTTATGGAAATTTCATTCTAACACGATACACGTTACATACCCTGTGTCCCTATAAAAACGTCACGGTTGGCGCACGGCTGCATAATCACGCCGCAATTTGTATACAAGCGAGGATCTAATCAACTCGAAAACGATGCACGCCTAATCGTTCCGTGGCCCGATTTAAATTCATAAGTGTATCTGAACCACTGTTTTACCCTTCAGTCAAGCTCATTTCGTTCTTCACAGCTTTGTGGGGAAAATAAAGTTTTAGAATGAACCTTCGCGGAATGTAAATATGTTACTACAGACAAGTGTTTATCGAATGCGAAAATATTGAACAGAGTGTTAAAAAGAAACCGCTATTTGCAATTTAAAATTTTAACCGTTACCAATCTCAACTTGGATTCTTAAATTAGCACTGTTAAATATTGTCAACATCAGCTTGAATCCCGTCATCCTCAATTCTTTCAAATTAAGTTCTATTTAAAAAAGAAAATGCTACGAACATCAAGACATCAGCATCAACATCAACTTTGTTTTATTAACATCAATGTCAACTTAGATCTGAAAATTCGCGATTTTATCAACCGCAACGCTTATTTCCGAATTCGCAGTGTTTTACCATAATCAACGTCAACGTTAATTCTTCATCGATATTCAAGTTTGCGATTCCATTAAACCACCCGGCCGCTACGCCACTGGTAGGTGCACGTACGTCCGTACTTAGCTTCAACTACATAAAAGAACGGCGGACATAACACGTTCGCGATACGCGATAAGAGTTCTGTCTGTCAGTGTTCTTGGGCTAACAGCTGAATCAGTTCGGTGTCGACATTCGCGGACGTTCAAACGTACATAATTTCGTCTCGCAGTATTCCTATTCTGAAATCGTGGAAAAAGTTTCCGAAAAACTTCGTGTTTCTCAGTAAATCAAGTCATGACGAACGTGGATCGATAATTATCGAAGAACCAAGAGGTGCACCATGTCGCAGACTTATTATTATGGTATGTGCGATAAACGTATAAATCAACGATTCGTAATGTGTGATTTAACAATGTTGCATTTAAGTTTGAAGGAGAGATTATACATAGATTAGGGGATTACTGGTCAACTGGCCACTAAAATCCCTTTATCTTTTCTATCGACCGAAGAATTATAGTTGATAGTAGCAATGCGTTTTATGGTGCACGATAGACCGATCACGAAACAACCACACCTGTACATCAAGCTTATCTGCCTAGATAGGAGATTATCTGTCAAAGTCCCGTCACGCATTCCACGTAATTAGAGCCCAATAGGTGTCGCTTTGCTACTTAGCTGTGTGCCGAGACTTGGCCTGTCTCTGGCTCGATTTAATCGAGAATGCTTTCCATTTGGATCACGGTTGGAAATTGTCCATAGTGTTTAAACAACTTCTAGACACATTTGCTTCAGTTACACTTGGTTATGTAACAGTAGAGAAAGGTCCTTTAATTCGTTAAAATTCTAGTGGATTTAATATGCCGAGTAATTGATTGTAAAATTTATATTGTAAAATCAATGATAATTTATGTTAGAGATGTCTTGAATTGGAACCTCTTTTAGAAACGTTAGATATTTTGGATTCATATAGAAGAAGAAGAATATTTTCCGTTCGTTGTTAAGTTGAGACATTTTTCTTCCGTTTCCATCCATGTTTCCTTCGTTAAACTGCATCAAAATGGAATCCATCATGGCTGCCTCTTCACACCTATTTCGTCGAAAAGAGACACATAAAACTTTGTCTTATTTCAAAGATATTTTCGCTACGTTTCTACTTTTACAGAATTGTTCACCCGGTGGATTTTAAGTATCTGGCTAGCATAAAAAGTAGGATTTGCTCGAAAGCAGCAACAATGTGTGTTTGCAGACGTTACGCTCGATGAATCTGAAGCGCATAGTGGTAACACTGCCTGGCGTGCGCGCGCGTTACAATCGCGTTACACGGTTTGCAACATACTTAGAAACGCGACGAACAGCTTCAGACAGAGACAGACGACTTGAGCACTCTAATCAAATCTGCGATGTTACCTGCTTGTCATTGCCCTCTCGGTTTGCACGCAGACGCCTATTGGCACGCTTTTCAACGCGAATGCGAGCTAACCACTGAGGTTACTGTTCCTCCCCATTGGCGTAGACCTTCCATTTACTCGTTGAATTTTTCTTCTTTCTCTGTTTCTCGAACAATAAAACGCAGATTCGTCTTTAGATTGGAAAAAGTAGGTTAGGTTTGCGAACGAGAGATTAGAAATTGGTGAAAGTAATGTTCGCGTGAAGTTTTACCGTGACAGAGAAAAATTCTTTTGGACTTAATTTGGTTTACATGACCGTTTTTAGGTTATGTTGATTATAATGATTTAAAAATGCTTAATAACCCATTCGTATTTTTCGAAATAAAACTTGGCTTCTAAGTGAGATTATTTGAACCTAATCTAAATTATCGTTTGTAACGAACTATGATTTGTTTGAATAAAATGTTTTTTGAATAGTTATTACTTTGAAAAAGAAACGTGTAAGAATTCCTAACGGCGGCAAGGTTGTCTAAAAATTGTATATTTTCGCCAGCGAGCACGCGTTAATTGCCAAGTTTCTTTGTAATGAAAACCAGCCCCCTGGCAGTCGTCGAATTTCACGATACCACTGCATTTAACATAATAAACACTCTTACTGAATATGTTTTTCAGCGACATCACACGCCCACACATACACACGCTGCACGAATGTGCCTAAGCTGCGAGTTCAATTAATTGTAATCAGACCAGTCGCTGCTTAAATAGTGTATATAACCGTTCGACGAACTGATCGTAGTAAATTAATGGTACGAACGTTGTATAATTATTAACGATAATAAATCGTGTTTTATTTCATCGCGATAATGTTATAAATTGGAGAATTTCATTTAACGAATTGATTCTACCTTTTGATAAATTCGTTGTTCTAATGATAATTAATTTTTCTTCCAATTAACTCTAATTGCGATTTTTTATGTTACTTTGCTGAGCGTGAAGAAGTTACGATAGGAGTTCATACAACGTGCAAATAATAATTGAGAATTGACTGTAAGAAGTATTTAAAAGAATGCTTGCAAAATATTTACAGAAAAAGTCTTTGCAAATATGCCTTAAAGATAGTAAAAAATTATAAATATCAAGAACTGCATAGATGATGCAAAATTTAAGCTAAACAAAACTATATGAAATCAGAAGGAAACTGCTATATCGAGCATGTCTGTTTTAAACGTGAGCTATCTCTGTGCCGCGATAAGCTATCTTCTTACAAAAAAATCAAAGGAAAACATCGTTTCCAACGTTGCGAAAATAGAAAATTGTTGTAAGCGAATAAAAACGAACGACGTTACTTTATTCGACTTCTTTCGCAATTACGTCCTTCGCGTTCTTGTGCCCAGCGAGAAAACAATAGAACTCTCGGAGAGATTTATCTCGAACGATAAGCCGCGAGATATGAATCGATTATTAATCCAACATGGCGATAAGGTACGCTGTTGAACGTGTCAAACTTTACGACTATAATCCGTTTCTCTGATAAAGTTTCGTCCTGTTCGTCCTTCTCCCTTGGAACTCATCGTTTGCAGAATTTTGTTATTTATTTTGTATCACCCTGTATATTTTCTGAGCTGTATTCTAATGACACTGTGAATGATTGTAAAGGTTAGGTGAGATTCTAGTGCAACAGATAAACTGAGATTGCAATACCTTGTTGACAATTTATCGTTTATACATTTATCAATTTATCAACGAATCTAAATTTCAGAATATGTTAATATATAAATTAGAAATACAACAAATAAAGAATATATTGTACATTAGTATTGTATTTTTATACTGTGAAACATATTATTGTGGATTTCGATGACACCTGGTGATTTAAACACACCGATAAAAACTGAAAAAGTCTTAAAAGCTGAAATACATTTTACGACCAGGTTTTCCTGTAAATTAACGATCGAAATAAAAAGTATCCTATCTTTTAAAGACGATCGGAAACAGTAAACAAGAATTTACAACTCTCCTGCAACAAATTTTATCATTTGCAAACAAGTTTCTTATGTTAACCAGTATTTCTACCATCTAACCTAACCTCAAATATCTTGCGAACACTGTTACCGGCATCGATTAAGAATCACGATTTATTTTACAACCAATATTACGAATAAATTATCTCCATTTAAAGAGATATCGTATTTCTTGAATTAAAGACTTTTATGAATTAAATTACGCGTAGAATTAACGCGCGTCGTTCGTACACAACAACCAACCGAGACTGCGCAGTGAGAAGAAAACCAAGGCGGCAGCATTGTGGCGAAATGCGTGCAAAGTAAATAAAGGGTGATAACGACGTTTACCTCGGGGCGAACGTTTCTGTTTTTTGCCAGTGTTCGTGACTCGACAAGATTATTGTCCTGGGTTTATCGTTGCTATCGCCAGCGCTCAACCATGTGTCGTAAATTTTTTCTCGCTTTATAAGGGCTAAATAACAGCCGAATAAACGTGTACGCGAACGCGAATCGGTTGTTTCACTGGCTGCCGGAAAACCGGGTCCCTAACAGGGATTCTTTTTACTTGCATAGCAGGGTAAATTGGTCGTTTTGTTTGATTCTTAATCTTTACGCTTGTGTACGGTGTAAGCGTGGTACGTATGTAGTTCTATTTGTTACAGTTGCTAGTTTGCAGATAGGCTTAAGATTAGGAAGTTTGTCAAGGTTATGTTGGGAAGATTCATTAGAAGGATTACGTACCATGAAATTAGAGGTTAGGTACAGTAGTGGTTGGTGTTAGGAGTGAGTTGCCGGTGTTAAACATCGATATTATCTGCATGCGAGGGTAATTTTATACAGGGTGACATTCAATGTCGAAAGTTGACACCAGAATTAAGAGAAACACTCATCGCTAACAGTATCTTTTGTTAAAAATTAACACCGGGGTTAAAAATTAATGCAACGTCGAAAATGTATACTTTTGTTGAACCATAACTTTCAACATAACGAATTACCACTGTAAGTGTTTAACCCATAAAAGAGGGTTACACGTGGAAATCTAAGTTTAACACTTCGTATATATGTACAGACGGAAATCTCTAAAAATTCCCCTAGCATCTGCGTACCACGCCCTTTAACCTCCCTTCGAAATGTTATTTTCGAAAGGAAACAGAAATTTCCGTTTCCGTCACGAGTGTTTCTCGAATTCCCAAGAATGGGATACGTGATCAAAGCGTGTCTAACTTTAGTAAAATGTTTGGTTACAGGGGCGCAGTATGTGCCCGGCGCTGGGCTTGGCGCCGCACCCCAAAACAGGACCTTTAACCTCGAGTATACACCACACTATTCACCGAGCAGAGCCAACATATACAGGGGTGGTTCTGATATACAGAAGAGAATGACTCAAAGGGAGGATACGTTGAGGTTCGAGCAGGGCCGCATTAAGGCCCTGCAGGAGGAACGTCTGCATATACAGAAGAAGACATTCACAAAATGGATCAACTCCTTTCTATTAAAGGTACTTATACATTCTTCTGTTTCAGTGTAATTCCTGGGTGTTGTAAAGAAGCATTATTTATTAAGGAAATAGTATAACGATGAATATGAGAGGCTTCACCTCCTTTGGCTTCGTATTTTTTCCCTTGATACGATTAAGGAGAAGAGGTCAATGAACTCTTGAGCATCTGGTGAAACAGTTCATTGATATGTAAAGAGTGTTCCATAATTACAAGTAGAAATTTGAATAGCCAAGAAAATGTTAGAACTTAGCACTTGGTGTTAAAGATTAACCCAGGGGGTTAAAATTTGACAATGGTGTTAAAATTAATAATCGATGTCAAAAATGAATATTTGTATTAAAATGTAACCTCCGACACAACCAACACATCTCTGTTCACTTTAATAATTATAATTTAATTGTAACTAATAAGTCTCATAAGTGAAAAGTATTGTAAATCTTCTATATAGACATTTTTCATCTTGAAATTTGTAACTTGTAATTTTTTAATTTTTCGAACAATGAATCGAAAATATGAAAAAATGGTAATGCAGAGTATTGTCGAGGATATTTGTAAAAATGACTTCGTCTAGCGTGTCTACAGAGGAAGGAATCCGGTGTCACGTTGAATCGATTACTTTCACTTCACAGGCGCGTATGGAAGTGGACGATTTATTCACGGATCTAGCGGACGGCAAGAAGCTACTGAAACTACTGGAGATCATCTCTGGCGAACGATTGGCCAAACCGAACAATGGTCGTATGAGAGTGCACAAAATCGAGAACGTGAACAAGTCACTGGCGTTTCTTCACACGAAGGTAGGACTAATTGTCTTCCCACATGCTATTCAAATTAGCCTAGCTGGTTCCTTTCGTGCCTTTGTGAACGCGTGTTCGACACACGAAATAGCGTTTTGTCGCGATAATTATGAATTATAATACCTGAATTAGATTCACATCGAATCTAGGGATATTTGAAATTTTAGGGTTTCCTAGTCCCTGACTCAGAAAGACAATACATAACCTCTTATTTCTTAGAAGAATAAAAGTTCAGGATTTTTTCTGGAAGAATGTTATAGATAGTGATTTTTGAAAATTTGAAATTTTGGATTTCCTACAGGATTTTTTCTGCAGAAATATTTGAAGCTCAGTTTTAGTATTTCTAAGAAAACATTTTACTGTAAGGAAATTCAGGGATACAGAATTTTTATATTTTACTGCAAAATTATACTTTAAAATGAATTTCACAGAACCACCGATTCCCTCAATAATTCTTCCCATGATCGAACAATATTTGCAATGATTCAATTTGCCACTCAGGGACTATCTCTACTTAACAGCTAATTTCTCGTTAAATCTTTATCTTCTTCCTGGTTGGAATTCACGAATGTGTAACTATCGTGTTCGACATCTTCCTCGAGGAAGATTAGAAAATTTCTCCAGAGATATAGACTGCAGCAGTTTGGTTCATTACGTCGATGGATCTAATTGTTCGTTAGGGAGGACGTAGGAAATAATTCTCACGCTTTCACGATTGTCTCTCCCCATTTCGCGACAGCGTTACACCCGACTGTGATATTACGTAAGGGGCGACACGGTTACGCAAGCGAAAACTGAAATTTTCTCCCCGTCGAAGCTTTTCCTCGACATTAATAAATGACTATATTATATCTGTCGTTTCACTTGGCTTTGCTCGATCGTTTCATTACACACGAGCTATTAAACAGGAGATAAAAATAGACAAATTACACTCATATATGTATGTTTTGCAAATGTTGAGATTTAAAGAATAATGAAAATTTAGTGTTTTAAATTTTTCTAAATGTTACATTTGTTCGGGAAAAATTTCTGTCCTTTGGAATTCCTGTATCTTATATTTTTTCATAAAATACCAATTCCTGTATTCCAAATTTCTCTTGACTAAATTTCTGATCAATTTTTGTTCGAGCATTCGAATAAGTGGAACATATGCGTCCGTCTGGTCACTGAAGGGTTGAAGAGATTTTCCCAAATTCCACATTTTTCAAGAAAATATTGAATTTCGTACTTGAAAATTCACCATATCGCATATTTTTGCAAAAATTTCTCTAGATTCTTTATACTTCTAAAGACATGAAACACCTTATCCCATCTACTTTCGATATACCCAAGAGGATCATGATCGAACTCTCCAGTTACCGGAAGTCACAGCCACGCGTCGCTCCTCGTATTCTCTCTCTCACGGTCTCACGTGTCCCATATGTATTGAACCTAATCCACTAGAATTCTTCACATATTTTTCAAAATCATCATTGAATTACTTTCATAAATTTTTCTAGTATACTAAAGTTTAATTCAAATATGAAGAAATTTAAAATGCTAAATCTTTCAGAAAATTGAAGGATTTAGAATTTTAATTTTCCAGAAAAATGGAGAATTCAGAATTTTCAATTTTTCAGAAATGTGGAGAAATTAGAATTTTAAATTCTCCGGAATAGTGGGGAATTTAGAATCTTGGATTTTTCAGAACAGCGGAGAAAATAGAGCAGTACTTAATTCAGGAATCTCTTTCATAAAAAATGCAAACATTCACGTTATAAAATTTTTCAACTTTTGTTGCAATAAAGCAATGATATTGCTTTTAATTTTGCGTTTCATACGACAAGAATGGATTGCAAAAGTCACAGTACTTATGTACGATGTCTCGTAGACGCATCTCCCATAAGAGCATTACGCTGCGGCGTACATAAAACTATTATGTCATAAGCTACGAAGCATAGAGGCCATTCACGAGGACTTCGTAGTTTGTAGGGCTTCGCGACGAGTTCCGTGTCCACGTAGGACGTCTTCTGATACCTCTATGGTTGTACCTACTGTGTCAAATATTTCCATTATTAATCACTGTTGCCAGTAACAAAACGGAAAAAGGAATTAATTCTTCTCCTGTTAAAAAATTCATTTGTGAGGGAAAAAATTATCAAGTTAGCAAATTATCAGTAAAATGGTACCAATAGTATCAATTTTCTTTGATTATCTAAGAAATTTATAGAAAGTGAAATACAGTTTCTTATTGTTCTAAAAAGATTGATATAATGAGGTACAATGTTCAGAAAAGTTACCTTATTTTGTACGTATTACATCATTGGTACGAAGTACATTTTATTTCGTTCTTATATTGATTGTAAGAACTTTCATTCTTTCATTCTTTTAGAATTCTTCGGTAATATTTTAAAGAATTTTGTATTAATTTTATTAATTTTTCTGAAATTCTTTACCAATTTTTCAGCATATTGAATCAGTTACTCTAGAACGTTTTATCAATTTTTTCAAAACTTTCTAAAATTCTTCATTAATTTTTCACCAATTTTTCGTCCGTTTCCTAAGCTTCTTTACTCTAATGATAATTATTCCACAAACCTTTATCTATGCCTTCTCAAATTTTACATCAACTTGTTAAAAGAATATTGAAAAATAAAAATTTCTTCAAATTGCCATTCATTTGATCGCAAAGCCTTACTTTGCATGTTCGTGACAAACAGAAAAGCAAATCAGCAGACAGGAAAATCCACTGGAAAGGAGGAACTTTCATGAAATACCTTGGCGAGTCGCCGTGTTTGAAATCCACCGCGGCAATTTTCCCCGACTTTCTAAGCAGGTGACGAAAAATTGTCATGGAATGCGTTTGCACTGAACGAGAATCACCTTCCAGAAATAAACTTTGCTTCCTTTCCAGTAGATCCAGGTGGGAGGTGTGAAGGACGTCATCGCGACGATGAAACGTGTCTACGGTGATTGATTTGCGCGCCGAATTCGATTGGGCGCGGTTTGTCACGGATTCCACGATGTTTATTACCGTTCTACGCTATCGAGAACGATCGCTTGTTATTTCGATTTATACCTTGTTGATCGATCAATCATTCCATGTATTCAAAGTGTTTCTGTGATTGGTTCCATGTAAATCTGGAAAATGAGTTCGATACTGACAGTGAGAGTAAAATTTGATTGATTTATTTGATGAATTGATGGATAGAGTTTTAGATGAAACGGCTCTTAAGAATCTTGATCAAAATTGCGGAAAAATTTTGTTTAAAAGAATTAGAACAAAAATTGTCTTTTTTTTTTTATTTAAAAAATTGTTAGGAAAGATTTTGATCCAATTAGTGAAAAATATTGAAGATATTAAATTTTTGTTTCTCATTCGTCCAGAGTAATTTACGTTTAACACGAATTGAGAATCTTGAATGCGCAAAAAGGTTGCAAAATACTGAGACTTTCTTCCGTTTTTATTTACTTATTTGGAGAAATCATAGAGAAGAATTTGGTCCGACAGAATTTAGGATCTCGAGGATGTTGCAAAGAAATGAGAAAGCAGAGAACTTTCGTTCTTACTCGTTCAGTGAAATGATGTAAATGACACGTAGAAAATTAAGCTAGTTAGAATAGGACTAACGTCAAATTCAGTATCCAAAAAAAAAAAGAATTGATAATTCCAGTTACTTAAAAGTTTCAAGTACCTAAACTGAGTTCAAAATTAAAAATTTTAAAGCTAATTAACTTTAATTATCTTTAAAATTGTTTTAAAATTTTTAATTAGCCTGTATATTGAAATTTTAACTTTGTAATTTTTATATACAGGTTAATTTAAAATTTGAAGAGTCAAAAGTGCGAATGAGTGTCACTGCTCATACAGACACTTAATGGTTAATAAAAATGCATTAAGAATTATTCTATGAGTATTGTTCATCGTTAAACAGAAATTGTCGCCTTTTGTTCCTCTTCTAAATGACGAATCGAACGAGCGAGCAACTCTTAGATGGAAAGTTATTCGTGGAAAGAACACGTTTCGCGCGTGCTTATTACAGCTTCTACGTGTTACGCGATTCGCGACAGCGCCGTTACGTAAAGGCGTCTTGCTAATCGCGCGTAAAAAGCATAAAACATGCGGACGTGATCTTAGCCGAGCATTAAATTTATATCCCTGGCTGTGATCGAACCTGAACACCTTTCGATTCGAATCTCTCACTATGTAACCATACAAAAGCTTCACGATTAAACATTATTCACCCTCGTTATTATCTACTTATTACTCAATTATCGTTCACTGTGAACGGTAGGAAAACTATGCAAATTTTTTCCAATGCATCTGTGAAGCTTAGGAAATTTTACTTGCAAATGTTAGACAATAAATCGCCTTTACTATACAAATGCATCATTCCATGTTAATTGAACTATTCATCGTCACTATTTTTTATAATGCGATTACTTTATTTTATACATAAAAATTTCCAGTGGAAAATTAGGAAAATTTAGAAAGCTGAAATTCGAAAGTTTGGTATATATGTACACTACCGATCAAAAGTTTCGAATCACTTGTTATTTTATGCTAATATTGAATTTCTCCATTTTTTATGGATTTGTAATTGATTTTAACGTGTATTTTTTTTTTTTTCTTAATTCGAAGATGTGATCAATTTTTAAAAAAGAATTATATTTGTTTTTAAATGAAGTTGCAAAACTAGTTAAATCTTCGATTTATACCTAGGAAGTTGGTTACCTTGTGAGTAAAATGATTAGGGCTGTAATACTTGTGAGTGATAGTGTGTATAATTTTAGAGGGAGGGAGTAGATTCACGTTACTTTGTAAGATTAGAATAATTTCTACCTTGAGTAAAACCTTGTTCTGCAACTATGTTTCTGTACCCTTGACAGGATAAGTGCGCCTGAAACACGGATCACTTTAGCTAGGGGCTGTTCCCATGACCGAAAGAATTCGAACCCACGGTAATTAGGGAGATATCCTCGGGCCATTCTGAGAAACCATCGTCCCCTGAAAAGCTATA